GAGCTTTGTTAGATGTTCCTCATACAGAATATTATATAAAATTCCGCTTTAAAGTTTATGCTTTTTTTTCTTTCTCTTTTTATCTACTAAAGTTCAAAAGGTGAGGAGAAGCGCGGCGGTTCTGGCTCGCACAACTGGGGCAATGTGAAGGATGAAGCCAGGTGGGTTTTCAGCAGAAGGAACCAGGTTGGCTCTGCGCCGTCACTGTGAAGTGCTTCTATTTTCGTAACAAACACTCAAAGTGACGTTTTGATGCCGGAACATGAGAGTAGGTCAAAGCAAAGAGGAAGTAGTTTTAGCTTTTTAACATCATGCTGTCTGATTCTGTTTGAAGCCCGGGAAGCTGGATCTAGTGTGTTAACAAAGTGGTGGGTTTGTTTTCAGTGAAGCTGAACAGCCTGCTGCTCCTGAGCCGACTCCAGAGGGAGAGGAAAACGCACCGGCCGGTTCCGAGAACAAGTAAGAGTTCAATGCTCTGTGGAGAGAACTTGGTAAATGGAAAACATTTTCAGACTAACATTGATTATCTCTTTATTTTTGTCCTTTTTTCCTTTTTTTTTTTGCAGGTGTAATATTTTCAAATCTTTTAAAAATTGAACAGTAAAATGTTATCTCTAACGTCCGTGCTGATCGATAGACTCTTGTTCCCCCATCATTTCCAGGGTTAAGCCTGCCCCCTATGAAAGGAGGAGAATATGATCCGTATAATGCTTTTTAAACTCAATCTGAAGAACAGATTTTAAGAAGGGGAAAAAAAATCGGTTAAAAAAAAAAAAAAAACTATCAAAAAGATAACATTTAAAAAAATACATACTTTTTTTAAATAAATCGTTTAATTTGGAAAATGAAAACAGGGAAGAAAAAAAATCAAAGTATTAAAAAGATAACATTTAAAAAAATACTTACTTTTTTTTAAATAAATCATTTAATTTGGAAAATGAAAACAGAAAAAAAAATGTAAAAAAACTAAACTATTAAAAAGATAACATTTAAAAAAATACTTACTTTTTTTAAATCGTTTAATTTGGAAAATGAAAACAGGAAAACAAATCTAGAAAATCCTTTTGGCTTTTTAACATTTTATCTAAAGTTTTGTTTCCGGTTTGATTTGCTTGCAAAAATATAGGAACAAAATTCCCTCCATACTTCCTACAGGGTTCCCGCGGGTCCTTGAAAAGCCTTAAAAGG